ACAGTCACAGTTGTGTTCCCACTGGTCTCCCCACCACCCAGGGACCATGAAGTCCTGCTCCCCAATCCCTACACCTGTCTTCGAAGTCAGTTTCCTCTCATCCATCTGCTTTTCATTTCCCAAAATGTCACCCACCCCTCTTTTCCGCTGTTGTATTGCATCCCCTCTCACTTCTTGTTGGGAGGAGAGTAGACAGACATTCAAGGGTATGTTCCTTGTGCAAAGGTGTTTACTTTCATTTACACCTACTGTAAAGCTTTTCCAGGCTTGTAATTTAGAGCTTAAGGAGAAATGGCAGTAGCACTTTCCAAACTGCAGGCTCCTTGAAATGCACTGGGGACACAGAAAAGGCAAAAGACCTGGGTCTCACCTCTGCTGAGCCCCTAATCTAAAGCAGGAAACGAGCATGAAGCCTGTGCTCCATGTGCTAATAAACACTTTGCAGGAAAAAGCAATGCGCCCTGAGAACAAAGAGCAAGACAAAGTAGCTTTAAAGCTGGAATGTTCAAGGATGCACTATGAGGTGGGAGTGGCTGCTCCAGGCATGTGCAAAGGTCCTGAGGTAGGAAGGAGAGCAGCGCCTATGGGACATGAAATAAAGCCAGTACAGATGAAACTGGGAAGTGGCCAGCCAGCTTCCTCTGCGAAAGCTAGTATCTACACATTTTCTCGTAGAAAACTGTCCAAACGATCCCTGGTGGACAGGTGAGTCTGGATACGCAGAAGAGAAGAATGTGAGCCCAGAGTACAGAGGACTTACCCTGATGGCCAAAGCTGGCCCGCGCAGTAGCTGCTCAGAACTCTGTGACTAAGTAGAAGGCTGCACAGCGAGGACTTCAGAAGACTCTTGGTTTCCAGCCCCAGCTCTAGTGTGGACTTGTGCTCTCCCACTCTAGCTGCCTCTGCATCAAGGGGCTAACTTCCCCCACACTAGCTGAGCCAACCATGCTGCAGATAGCAGTGAGGTTTCCAGTTAGAATCATTCTGGACCTGGAGGTGGGCGTGGCCAGCCCACTGAGTGGATCTGAGCCTTGAGAGGGCCCAGGATGGAGGCAGGAAACAAGCTCAGATGGGTCTGCTAGTGCTCGCTATCCTTTAAGATGCAGTCACCAGCACAGGGCCTGCAGCTCCCTCAGGGGGCAGGCCCCTTAGCCCAGAGTCCAACTGGCCACAGCCCAGTAGGCCCACAGGAAAAGAGGGAAGTAAACAAGCAGGCCCGAAGGCTGCCCTCCTAAGAGCAATTTGCAGGCTTAAAAGCATTTCTACCATCTGCTGTCTCCCTGTGCCTCAGTGCTCCAGGGAGCCAAAGGTAGAGTGGCGGGTGTTGGGGGCTCCCTTTGTTCCTCCAAAAGGCTTGCCCTGAGCCTGGGGCAGCAGTTCGAGTCTGATCTGGAGCTAGTGGAGCCGCTGTGAGAGCAACTGGGCAGGATGGACCCTTGCCACTGCCGCTACCCAGCTCCCTTTCACTCACAAAGTGCAGCGAAGGGACTGGAATTGCCCTACTTGTGCTTTCGATGGACTAAAGGCACAGCTGGGCTCTGCTGGACCCCATCCCTTGGCTGGATGTCCTGCAGAGACCCAGCCAGTCTCTGCCTGCTTCTCACCTGCTCTGCCCACCTCCAGGAGAAAACTGTTCTCCACACTTCAGACTGTGAACCAGCTCTCCAGGGACGTGTGCCTACAAATGCTCCTTTATCCTGACATCTGCACTCTCTGGGGCAAAACCACTCTCCTGCCAGCCCTTACATAATAGCGTGTGATTTGTACAATTTATTTTTATTCTGTATCCTTCCCACAAAACTTTCACAGCTGCCTTCATGATTCCTGTTGGGGTCAGGTGTTGACTGAGATGGTGGAGGGGGAGTGGAGGTTACGTGGCTATGTGGACGTAGCGTGTACTGTGGACATGGCTGATGGCAGTCAGTAAGCCGAGGCCTACCCCACCCCACAGGTCTGAGAGCAGATGGCATTGCTCAGAGACTGGGCTCAGCTGCCCTTCACCTCAGTAGCCATCCCGCAGTCTCTGCCCACCACCTTGCCTGGGTGTCAAAGGGGTATCCTCTCCCAGAGGGGTGTCTTCTCCCCTTAGACACCATTTGTCCACCAGCCTCCCATTTCATTCCCTCAGGCCTCACTGAGGCCAGAGCACCCTCTGCCAGGCCTTTGTGACAGCTCTACGAAGGGCTGAGAGGTGTTGAGAGTGAGGTACAGCATGTGTGGCACAGTGTTTGAGACCTAGCGTTCACCCCAGCCAGAGAGGCTCTGGAGCTCCCAGCCAGCCTAACAGGGCCTTTCCACTCTACCAGCTCTGGCCACTGTGGTCATTGCCAGTGGGTCAGGCCTGACAGTGGCTGCTGGGCTTTGATAGGGCAGCTGCCACCTTGGGCCTGCGAGTGGGTGCCGGCCAGGTCCACAGGGGTCTGACTTCTCAGTCCCAGAGACACAACTCCCAAACACCACTTACTTACCTACCTGTCTCCCCACGCCCCCAGGAAACCTGTGCTCTTTATGGGAAGAGTCTGTACTAGAGTGATTTTCTAAGGTAGAAGGCCCATCTTTTATTTATTTAATCTAACCATCATGTGAATAATTCATTCACATTTATGTAAGTAGTTGAACTACAAGAATAATGGGGAGGGCCAACACATTGACTTCTCTGTGTCCCAAATCAAAGCGAGAGTTCAGTCCCCGCCCCAGTTCCTACGTGCAGGTATTCAGGTATGTGTCGCTCCTGGGCCAGGAGGCTGGGTCAGAGCCATCCACCTCTGAGAGCTCGTGAGAGCCTGAGGAAACGATGCTCCTTACCAGCCCCATGTTTCATGTTCTGCCCGTCGCAGACAAGAGAAGACCCTCCTGTGCCAGGCACAGTGTGGGAAGTGCCTCCCCTGGGGTCCAGGCTCATAGCAGGTGCCCAGAACACACTCCTGGGAAATAAGTGAGGTGGCAGGTGAGCTCTAGCAGCCAGAACACTCACTGTTCCCCTTGCTCACTGCCTCGCTTGCCTGATATCCTCACACTGACCAGCTCAGGTCTGGCCTCATCAGCTGAGCTCTCTGCTTACGGGAATCTGAACTGCATGATAAGTGGCATTCCTGTGTCTTCTCCAAGGTCAAACTGCATTTATTACCAAAATTAATATTCCCCAGTGGACATCAGAGATCCACTAAGGCAGTTCAGTGTGTGATGGTAAAATGTCACACGGGTGGCATGGTCAGAGGCTTTCTCTTTAGAGCAGGTTTTCCTCCTGCTGGCAGAGCCATCTTAGGTGGCATGGTTGAGAGACACGGAGGAGCTTTGGGGTCAGAGCTGCCGACTACCCTTTTGATTTCATAGTCTGATTACTCGATTAATCAAGGCCTCCGAGCCTGTGTCCTGATGGAGAGACTCTCAGCTCCAGAATAACAATGTCCTCCAGGGCCTTAAAGCTGGTGATAAATGAGGGGCAGGCGAGGGCAAGACGTTTGCCAAGTGCATGGACAGTGGAAAGCCTGGAGGAGCCGAGCCCTAGATTAGGACCTTTATTCAGCACCAGGACGTAGCCCCATCAAGCTGTCTGCAGAGCTGCAGGTGGCGTGGAATAGACGGAGGATGCAAGTGCAGACCCTGGCATGTCCCAGAGTATGTGAGGCAGATGCTGTTGAAAGTTTGCTCCTTGCACTGGACAGTCCTACCCGGGTACTTACCAAACGGTTTCCTCTTGGGGCCTCTGGTCTCCCCGGCCTTCTCCCCCAGAAATACTGGCTCCCATGTGTCCTGACTCCCACCTCCCCCAGAAGTGACCCTGACTTGCACCACTCACTTTCAGCTGGTCCCTGCAGTGCATATTTTCGCACTGACCAAGGAGGCCCTCTGACCTGTCTCTCTGCCCACAGGCACTTGGCCTGAAAGCTTTTTTTCCCCACATTCCTCTCCTGGGGGCACCTATGGGTGCCTATTGGGTGTGACCCTGTGGTTTTCAGACTAGTCTCTTAATTCAGGTCGGCCTTGCCGTAGTCCTTGTGTATGACCTGAGGAGCTGGGACTGTTGTCCCTGTCATAGTTAGGGCTCCCTATCATAGTTAGAGCAGGGTTCAGACCCCAGCTGACCGGTCCTGAGGCCTAGGTCTTTTCCACCATCCTCCTCATTGAGCTGGACTCCTGTCCCACCCAGGACAGCCTCAGACCCTAGAGGGTGTCCCGTGGTCTGCTTCAGACAGGCCTGCCAGGCAGCATCTGGCCTGGGAGACAACCCCATGCACCTTCAGTGGAGCCAGGCTTGCTGATTAGTGGGGGGTAATCGAGGCTTAATTACTTGGAAGGCACCTTGGATGAAGGAGTCATGGTAATTGCTATTTCCTCCTGACAGCCTCACACAGCTTGTTTTTCCTGGTGCTTTGTAAACTAAGAGTGCTATGTCTCCACAGGGCCAGCAGGGGAACCCCTAGGGCATTGTGATATGATATGATATGATATGATATGATATGATATGATATGATATGATATGATATGATATATGATAAGATAAATATGAGATGAGTCAGTGCCTCGCCCCCAGCACATTCTTGCCTGAAAGCTGCTGATGAGCAAGACAGTGAATAAACGCCCGCCGTCACCTGCCCACCCTTTCAACTCAGGGCAGTCTTCACTGTTGCCTGGCATTCTTCTGCCTCAAGAGCCCACCTGTGAGCTGTAAAGTTCAGAGCTCAGAGATGAGGATGTTGGTCCAGTATCTTCCTCGAGTCATTTTTCGGTGGCACTCCTACTCTTAATGGAATAACGTCACCGTTAGCACCACTCAAAGGTTAGGCTGCTTTCGGCTTGTTCTTTTCATTTGGGAACAGGGCACACAACCCATTTGGTGTGGTGCAGCCTTCCCAGCTGTCACCTCAGGGCCTTGCCGCCACCCCTACCACCCTGCTGCTCTGGGTGCTTGCCACTTCTCTAGGTTTCTGGCCCCAGAGCTGCCCCTTCACTGCTGGCCAGGCTGACAAACTCACCTCCTGTCCTTCCTCCTCCCTCAGAGCTGAAGAAGCAAGTGGAAAGCGCTGAGCTGAAAAACCAGCGACTTAAGGAGGTCTTCCAGACCAAGATCCAGGAGTTCCGCAAGGTCTGCTACACACTCACAGGCTACCAGATCGACATCACCACAGAGAGCCAGTACCGGCTCACGTCCATGTATGCCGAGCACAAGAACGACTGCCTCATCTTCAAGGTAGGATCCTGCCCTCCCTCCAGCTGGGGAGGTCAAACGCTGCCCTCCCGATGAAGGCACACATTTCAAGCGTCACCTGCTGACCCACAGCTACCCCCAGCTTCTCGCTGTAGCCAGGGCCTCCTGCAGGACATTGGGCCCGCGCCTCTTCCTGTCTTGACTTACTTCCCTAGTGTCAACATCCCTGGAATGGGTGGAGGCAGTGAGGAGGTGTCTAACGTCCCACCCCAAGCGGGATGAAGTCATTGGGTGAAAATCAGTGTTAGGCCAGGGAGCTGCATCAGTGCTGCCAAGGTGTGCAGTTAGACCACAGCTGGAGGGATGGCCAGTGTGACACAGGGCAGCAGGCTGAGAAAAGCTGGCAACACACCAGTGGCCATGGCGTGCATTGCCCTTCAAGTTTGCAGGAAAGCCCAGGCTGAACCACAGACAGACAGGAAGGTGTGACTCCTGCAGGGTGAGGTGGGCTCCCCAAGCAGAACCCTCTTAGTCAGAAGCAGCTTGACCTGGTGGAACTGCGCATTAAATAAGACTTAGGGTGGCTTCCACACTTCCAGAGCAGGGGGCCGGGGGAAACTATCTCAATGGACATCACCTGAGATTAGGGTGCAGAGACACCTGGCTCTTGCATGGGGCAGCTGCTTCAGGGTGGTGAAGAGTCAGAGGGCACTCACATGGCTCCAGCGCCCTCTGGCCAGGTGTCAGCCTCCCTTCTCCAGCCATGTCTCTCTCTCGCAGTCAGAGCTGCATCAGCTCGGGAACTGGTACACAGCATTTCTTTTTGATTACTTGGTCTTCTTAGGTCATGTGCATCCATTCTTATACTTTATAAACTCTTAAACTTCCAAATGAGTAAGATGTTCATACATTCAAAGGCTCTAAAATAAATAAACTGCCAGAAATACACTTCTTCTCTATATAATTCTGGATCATCTTGAATAATTCAGGTGCTAATTTAACACATTGCAGAAATCCCATGTCTTGTCTTGTTTTCTTCTCTCCAAGATTTCAGAAATAAGCAAAACATACAGATTTTATGAATGGTCACTGTTGAACATGTCACTCATCATATCCAACTTTTAAGTTAGGAGGCAAGTTTCTGGATTCTTACTGAAGTGATTAATCTTATTAAAAGGGTAAAACTCCAGAGTATTTAATGTTTATAGATTGTTGAAAATAGAGAATGTCCAAAAGTAGAACACAACTTGCTTACAGTTCCACCTTCAAGAGACTACCACTGCCGCTCGGTGATGAATTGCCCACCGGTGTCTCACTCGTGTTGGCATGGTTTGGGGTACGTTCATGTCTTTTTAAAATCATGTCTGCAGGGAGCTTGTTGTTCCCCATCTACCCATAATGCACTCTGTCCATCCAGGTGTGTGGAGACAGAAGGCTGGGGCTCACCTATGTCCTTTTCTGCCTACAAGTCTCAGATCAGCTGGACTCAGTCCTTTGCCCATTCAGGGACCTCGGTGCTGCTGCGTCTGACACCTGAGCCTCTGGCTCTAAGCACAATGTGACCCAAGCTGGGCAGGAATACCTGCTCACCTTTGAGCCCTCCCACCCCTGCCTCCAAAAAGAGAACAGGGTCCCCGGGATGGGGAGCGAAGGGGCAGTGGTGACCCCACTCAGAGAAGTGGCTCACAAGCATGGCAGTAGGAGATGCAAAGCGTGCTCCTAGCCCCACACTCTAGTTTTGGCATGCTGTGAGGGTAAGAGCCACACTGTGTCTGTGGGCCCTCAGCAGACCCAGCTTTGCCTGAGGGAGACCTCCAGTGCCTGTATGGATGTGAACAAGGGAGCAGGAACCCCATTCCCTCAAATGAGAAGCTGGCCAGACCTCAAGGCCCCCTGTCCTCAGCCAGAGCCTGCCCCCCTACCAAATGCCTAGATAGAGCCTCTGAGGGGACAGTACAAAGACCTGGGGAGAACCGGGGGGTGGGGGAGGGGGCAATCTTAGGCAAGTCAACCCAATCCTATCCTCTCCCATTGTCCTTAGGGTCTTTAGACCTATCTTCTTTTCCCCTGGAACAACCAGGGCAGTGAGGAAAAGGCCTAGAAGAGAAGTTCTCTGTCATTAGGCCTCACCAGCCTCCAAAGAGGGTCTTTAGGCACAGCTGAAGAGCAGGAGGTAGGGGTGCAGAGGCAGTCAATGTCCTCCAGCCTGGGGTACACTCCCTAGGAACTTCTCCCCTCCCCAGTGTCCTGGCACATGGCAGGGGATCTGCTTTGGCCAAAGCTGGCACTGCTGCTAGGCAAAGCAAAAGTCATGGTTTCCAGTCTTCAGCAAATTCAATTCTCCAAGGCTTCAGTGAATCGGATGTCATACCAACCTCCAGTGTGTCCATGGGAGAGAGGGTGAAGAGAGGGAGCCTGACTCGACCCTTAGGGCCTAAGAAGCAATCAAGGGAGCAGATTGAGTGGGCCTTTTGCTTTCTTCTTAACTGAAGGAGCCTGGAGTCCATGTGTACATGTGTGTATATGTACATATGCACATATGTGTGCTTAGGCCCCTGCCTGGCACCCCTCCTGTACAATCCCCAGTAGGGAGTTAGTGTTCATCTTCTCTCCAGGCCCTGGAGCAGGCTCCCTGGCAGTGAGGAGCATTCCCAGGCAGCACAACTCCTTATGAGACAGCAGGGCCGAGTTCCCGTGGACCCAGTCTGCCCATCCATTAAGCATACTTCTTGTCCTGCATTTCTTGGCCCCAAGTGAGTGCCTTGGCTGGTCACTGCATTCTTGTGGGGCTCACTTTCCCCACCTGTAGCTTGATCCAGAAGCTCTGGATCCTTTTACCCGGGCCCTCTGGGTTCACAGCAGCTTCCCAGCCAGCACAGTTTTCACTAGGACCACAATGAAGGCTCTTGATGGCATATGCCTCTAAGAAGGCCCTGTGGCCCTCAGGAGATTCTGCCAGTGCAGAGACCAGCCTAAGGGGTGCAGGGCTGAATGACCTGCCAAGCCCACCCAGCCACTCCCCAGGGGTGGCTGTGCCTAAGCAGAGGATGGCTGAATCAAGCTGGGGAGGATCGCATGAAATGACAATCTCCTGGCCACTTTAGTTTCCCCCAGAAGATTTTCAAGCAGAAGGGGCTGAAGGCAGTTAGAAATAGCTGAGTGCTCTTCCAGTCGGGTAGGTGCTGCAGATGTGCGTGGGGATAATTGAGGGTTTTGCACTGCCCCACACAGCTCCGCTGGAGAGGAGACGGGCGGCCTGGCTGTGGGGGTGGAGCGCTGCCTGCCCAGCCTGCTCAGGAGAAGCGGGAGCTCTCAGCAGGGCTTACCGCCTTCCCACCCTCCCCAGGCAAGAAATGCGCCCCACAGCCCCCAGAGTGTCTGGAAAGGGTCTACCCATCCCTGCTCTATGGTGAGGGAACCTGCAGAGCTGCGGAGTGGGGTGGAGTTTGAAGCTCTGTGTGGGCAGGAGCGTGTTCACGGCTCTGTCTCTCCTCCAAGCCCTTCTCTGTCTCTGGTCCACAAGGGTGCTCCTCCTTTCTTAAGTTCCCCAGGGCAGAAAGTTCCCTGTGACAAGAGGAACAGACCTGACGATATGAGTGTGCAGTTGAACGCAAGGTCAGGGCCACGGCAAGGTCAGGGCCACGCAGGAGATAAACCGCTGACTTGAGGTGCCTGGGGCCCAGCTACAGCTTGGTAAATGCCCCTTCCCTCCCTGCCCTGGCTTTCCTCAGGGTGCTTTGACCAACTACCGGCCCCTTCATTGCCTCTTCCAACTGACCCCTGGCTGTTGGGCCCTGGGGACAAGCAGAACAGGATCCAACCCAAGGTTGTTTGGTATTCAGGGGGACGGAGCCCCAGGCCAAGGCCTGCCAGGTACACCGGGCTTGCCAGTGGCCTCCTTACCTGGAAAGCTTTCCAGACAGGCTCGTCTGTCAGTTTGTGACAGGACCTTTCCACTATCCCTCGGAGCCCCGTCCCCTAACATAGTATGACTCCAACGAAGGGACCATAGACTCGTGAACCAGAAGCCTGATGTCCAACTGGCGCATGTTGATACAGGCGGCCATCTATGCAGGCTGTATTGCTTTCCAAAGAAGCTTTCCATTGGCTCCCTGTGGGTGTGGTATGGCCTTCAAGCTGCCTGTTCTTTACTTTTTTTTTTTTAATTTTACATTTTTTTTTACATCATTCTTCATTTTGTACATCTTTTCATCTCGGTTATAGTCCCCAAGGACTTCCCACAATTAACCTTTTAACGCAGGATGTAAACAAGCAGGTTTACCCACCACCCTCAGGTGCTCATCGTGCTCAGAGCAGACTCCTCCCCTCCCTCCCTCACTGCCCCAGCACAGTGCCTGGGATAAACTGCCTCGGTACTGGTGGTCTGATGGACGGCCAGGCCACAGACCCTTGCAGCACCCCGAACGGGGCAGGAGGCGAGGCAGCAGCCCACCATGGGCAACAGAGGCAGGGGGCTCCCGGGAGTCCTCAGCTACCCCACACTCTTTCCTTCTTCTTCCCCTCTGCTGGACAGAATACCTGGTGAAGAGTCCCCTAGGGGAAGGACTTGGACAGGTTGAGAGAAGAGACACTTGAGCTGCAGCCCCAGCATCCCCGGCGCACACTGGACTAGAGCTGAGCAGCTAAGCCTGAACAGCACGGGTTACCATGGCAACTGTCTTAGCTAGAGGAGGAAGGGATTAGGGACCTGGAAGACCTAGCCCTGCCCTGTGCAGGAACCCCTCAACCCCTCATGGCATCTTGAAACCCCAGCTCCAACCCACAAATTCCAGAAGCATGAGTTACCTCCCTGGGACAGATGATCTGAAACCCGCCCTATGAGGTCCCATCCCATGGGTCCCCAGACACACGGTCTCCTTCACCTGGCACTCTGCCATGACCTCAACTTCAGGCCTCATTAAGCCCTTTCTCTTTCTCCATGGCAGAGTTGGAGCAGAGGAGCACCAGGGAGGAATTTTAAAGTATGGCCGGTGACTGCCACGTGGCTAAGGAGCATGGCTCATGGTCTGAGCGGGGGCAGC